TTTTGTATGAGTTTAATCTGCCTTGACCCCTGTCTCCAATTACATTACAGAGTTAAATCGGTGAATTTGAGTCTGAACTAGTGAAGATCCTCAGAGTGGTTGACAAAATCTGTTTTTACTGCAATTGAGTATCTCATTTGTTTAATCACATGCATGATTAAAGACAGATTCGGGCAAGTTAATTACGTAATTTAAAAACTTGAACCACAACATATACGCAGATCATGTTTGGTGAGATTTAAATGCATGGAGCAAACATTGTACATAAAAGTGGAAACCATACTAAGTTTTGAATACCAATGCTCGCTGAGTAAATGAGTGGAAAATTCAGATACGAGGCAAAGAGAGGACGAGACTTGTTTTTAGAAATAGTTATTTATTAAATTATTCATTTTTCAGTCAGCATTGGTAGTGTCCATTTGCCCATAAGTCATAGACTGTGGGAGTGATGAAGGGAGGTTAAAACAAATTGAAATTAAGGGGATGATGTGAATAAGGTCACAACAGACATTGAAACCCAGAAATTTCCCTCATATTTAAAATGTGACCCCCGAAATTATATGACTTCAGTATTAGAAATAAAACCCACTAAAAAACCCATGTAGAGTATTTGAGGCATAGAAAATAATTATAACAAATTAAACAAACAACATTGGTAAGAGTTAAATGATTGTTATTGAAATCCAAGCCAGTCGGTGCATAATGTAGAAACATGAAAATTAGATCACATACAGGTAGCTTACAAAAACATTTCTTACTGCAAAACTTCCCTTTGGTATTGAATGCTCAATTAAAAAGATACTGGAAAACTCAGACTACATGAAAAGCAACAACAAACAAAACTTTCCAAAATTTCTAAGGCAAAAAAATGGGATAGTGAATGTTGCTCCTCCCCTCATCAATAGTAATGTTGCTTTGCGGTATATCCTGTCAAGACAACTGTCACCGATAAGCAATAGACTCTCTCCGATTATTTTGAAAAGGCTATACAACGAAAAAATGAGATCTGTGCAATCAACAGCCTACCTCTTCAAAGGTATGCGTAAGGAATGGGAGTTGAGCCATCTCTCCACACACTCTTTCCAAGGAGTTGATGCATTGTAGAACCTCAGACGTTCTACTGACAATGCTGGCATCATCTGTGATTTTAACATTATAAGCAGTGAGTGAACCACCCAGAAACAATTTATCAGCGGGCATTAAATAACATTATACCATCTTGTGTTTTCATTCATACACCTAATTAATAGTGATTGCCATATCATTTTCAAATAAAAAATATATAACCATCCTTACACACCTTAGTCTAATAACTGTCCAATAGCCTTTGAAATTGGTGAATAAGAAGGGTGGACTTACAGTATTTGGCTAATAGGGAATGGCATCACAAGCAATGTTGATAATTAATACTATCACTGTTAACTAATGAATCTACAGAAGAATGTAACAGTACCTGTCACAACCCCTGCGGTGGAGAGATCATCAAACACATATCCACCTAAATAGTAATTTAAAGAGATGACAGAAAATGCCATGACACAGTTTGTCACAAATATTTCTGATGACTTTATTTTGGTAATTTATTACAGTTCTTACATTAGCACACAATTACTTACAGCAACTAACAACTTAACGAACAGTATTAGCAGTGACAAAAACTTCCCATTCCTTTTTAAATTTCCTAAACACCGTTTTTAAAAGAGAAACACTAGAGAAAAGAACTATGACAAATATGGTAGTTTGAGTCGAGAACAATGCATTACTATGTGTAATTATGTACTTTGACATGAAACTTACAGACTGGTAGCTCTCTGAAGTTGCTGGTGTCGAGTGGTAGCTCATCTCCAAAGCAGCTGGTGTCGACACCTGTGATGTCAAAGTTAAAAGTTAAAAATTTAGCTTAGTGTGTTACAAACAAACTATGACATGAATTGGCCTCTAAATTTGATTACAATAATTTTGATACCCATTAGAATGTTTCAATAAGCACATGATATTGTGTAATGATTTTTCTCATATATCCTTATGTACACCATTAAGCAAACGACATGTACAGTCACGATCTCATTGTGATATCATAAACTCTATACACTGTAGCTAAACATAAGTGTTTTCTTCTCACCTGCACCTTCATCTTCCTCTCCAGGGGAATCTAAGTCTATGAAATCATCCTCGTCTGTATCATCTGCTGAACACATAATCATCATGATTATCAGTACATGTTACAAGTGTTTTTTATTCATAGAAAAACCTCAAGAAACTTCAAGTCCTTTACACCAGTAAAAATATTCAAGGGGTTAGACATACCAAATGATGTTCCTGCCCTGCTTGCTATAGCTGTCAAATACCTTCGGGTGGAGGCTTAAAATTAAAGTAAAAAGAAGAAAACATGAAACATGTGCACAACATGGTGTGAAAATAATAATGTCAAAGGAAATAAAAATAATAATTAATAGTCATATAACAACACAAGGGAAACATAAAAACAACGGTATTCGTGCTTTTTGAATTTAAAAAGCCCGTTAACCTATTTTGTTTTAATAGCCAATACAGAACCCTTGTGGTTGGCAATACAATTGCCAAGGATGGCCAATAAATTGTAGTCTTTAAACCAGGTGTATAATTTTTCCTTCCACATTTCATTCAGTGTCAGGAAGATTTCAATGTCCGCCAGCTTCTAAGTTTAAGAATTTTTTGAATGGGAGGACTATAGACACATACAGTGCCTGCAACTTTTTATAGTATCTGGGGAAACACATACATGTGTGAATAAAGAGATCAACTCAAGCCTAGATGTAAATGTACACTGCCAGCTGTTATTAATTACCACTACTCAGTGGATTAAAATATATATTGCAAAAACACATTTTCAAGACATGATATTTATCCAGGGCGTTGCCGAAAAACTAAAAGGTGTTGATGCCCTTGGCCTGGTGCCATTTAACATGTTCAACCAAGCAAATCCTGGGAATGATTGACTTCAGAATTTGAGCTACACATCATTAATACTGTTAAAACAATAATTGTTTGGTCAAATTATTTGAGCCTAGCATATTAAAACATTCATGGACTTTACTTACCTCCACTAGAGGGTGGTGTGGTAAGATCTATTAGGATCCCTGAGGCTGACACAGGTGGCAATGTGGGAGTGGAGGTAGAAGATACAGGTGTCACCGTGGAAGTGAATGTAGGAGAAGAAATAAGTGGCACTGTAAAGGTGGATGTGGAGATAGAAGAAGACATGGGTGTCACTGAAGAGGTGGAGACAGAAGATGACATGCATGGCACTGAGGAAGTGGAGGTATAGGGAGAAGATGACATGGGTGGCACTGCAAAGGTGGGTATGGAAATAGAGGAAGACATGGGCGGCACTGAGGAGATGGAAATGGAGACAGAAGTTGGAATGCGCGGCACTGGGGAAGTGGAGGTGGAGGTAGAAGATGACAAGGATGGCACTGTGGAGGTGGATGATAACACAAGTGGTACCGTGAAGGTGGAGGTAGAGGATGACATAAGTGGCAATGTGGAGGTGGACGTGGAAGATGACATGGGTGGCACTGTGGAAGTGGCGGTAGAGGATAACATAAGTGGCAACATGGAGGTTGAGGTGGAGGACGACATAAGTGACACTGTGGAGTTGTAGGCAGAAAATGGCATGGGTGGCACTGTAGAGGTGGAGGTGGAGGATGACATAAGTGGCACTGTGGAGGTGGAGGCAGAAATGGATGATATGGATGGTGGTAATGTAAATGTCTGGGTGTGATATGACGCTGGTGCTGTTGAAGACATTGGCAAGGAAAATGTAACTGGAGTTGATGTGGATGTTGAAATAGAAGACGCGGCTGATGACAATGTAGAAGATGTAGAGGTAAGGGTAGAGGATGACCTTGTTTGTGATGCTGAAAGGGAACAATCAACTGCAATTAAATTGATGCACTTGCATAACGAAATAGCCATACCGTAATATTGTCCTAAAATAGACATGTTGATGTCAAACACAGCAAATAAAAAAGCCACCAGGGGTTTTGATTCCAGCATGAGTCAAATTAATTTTATTCAGGACGGCAACTTTTACGATTCAGACAATCGTCGGCAAAATTGTTGAGACATTGTACTCAAATAGTTTAACTCCACAGAACAAAAGAATCCACACCCATCCCCTGTCTTCTCCATTCAATGTTGGGATGTTTCTTGTTTTGTAGAGGTAGCTCGAGCTGTGGCAAAAGATTGTACAGAGGGGATGGATATTACTGACTTCAAAAAGGGGAATATAGCTTTTCCTCTGCGATCAGCTCGATAGAAATTTTCTTACCAGAAGGAAGGTATATAAACACTTTCTTTTTCCTGGCTCCCCCAAACAGCTCCACTACTTTACAGCCGTCCTGGAGTCCTGTTGCCACCGTAGCCATGGAATGGCCCTTCGAATAGGACGCTATGAACTCAAGTCTGAAAACAAAGAATACGAATCTTCTTGAAGCAGACAGAAATGATATGGCAATGTGTTAAAGTAAAAAAGTATGAAAAGACAAAAAAAACTTCTAAGTTCTATCTAGTTCCTGAGCCAACTGGAACAACCGTTTGAAGCTAAGGCTTTGTAAGCGCGCGATAGTGTTGCTCAGTCTAGTCGACTCTCTTCCTAAAAAGAAAGCCAGTCATATTCTATGATCAATATGCGTGGACTTGATATGCATGACCCTCGTCGCCAATCGCCGAATAAATAAGTCGCTGGCTCCTTTCAACGTCAAGGACGTGTTGAACTATTGTAGATATGAAATGTTATTAACGGTATGTTGTGCGCGTGCGCAAGTAAAGCAATCCGCGTCCCTGAAATACGCCCTCAAAATACCCCGAAGGGTTTACTCTGCACCCTGCCAGTTTTAAGTTTTCTGAATGAACAGCCGGTAGTAGTAAAAAAACGTCCCGTATTGGAATGACAAAAAAAACTGCTGTGATTCTATTAATCTATTATTCTATTAATCACTGTTGTTTGACCGTGGACTACAATATTTTGCCAATATCTGCATTTACCTGATATAGAGGATTGTAGAGAACGACCCAAAAAATCCAAACCCGAAGATCGATTAAGACCGACTAACCGATTAACCAGAGAAAGCAGCGTTTCGATCAATAACGATGAAGGCAATGAGAAGTTTTGTTAATGGGTTCAGCAATATTTGATTGATTTTGCTGAGTAGTGGTCGGAACCGTTTTCAAGATCGATAAAACGTGTGTTTTATTTCACTGCAAAGTGCGAACAAGACAATTCTCGCGCGCAGGCCTAATAAGAGTGTTGACTCTAGGTGAAGTCTGTTTTCTTGCACAAACGTGTCAACTCAAAAATACGAGCAACAACGAATAAATGATTTCACAGAATAAAAAGAGTTCTATCCAGGATGTGTGGTCGTTAGGAAAGACGATGTTCTTCTTTCGGCCTTATAATACACATTGAGAAAACTGTACTTGACTCGTTATAAGTGGAACGATCTCACTACATGCACTATACCGGCCCCGAAACGAAACGATCTGACCGCTTGATTCCCCCTGTACTGTTCCAAAAGCGTGATACTAGTTCTAACTAAAAGTATATTATTGGAATACCCACCGACTAAGGTCGCTTCCAGCCAGGGAAGGAAAGCAATCCAGTATTTTACCTCCCATCTCTTGCGATGTGGTATTTTTCGTGAAGAAAATCTCTTTCACGCGCCCTCCTTTTAAAAGCCTTTCATAATAGACACTGCTAGGCACAGAAGTTATACGCTTGTCTAAAAAAACCACAGTTCTAGATAATGCACGGTTAGCCATCGCTCTGAAGTTGACTGGGTAGCAAGAAGCCGATAGCAGATTTAGAATGATGCCACTTGGTTTTGAAACAAAGGCTATGATAAGCCTTTGTTGTATTGTATTGTAAGAAGGCGGCGCGGTTTAACATAACCAGGTGAGAGGTGTGATTTCCGCAGGCTCTTCTGCTGGGTATCCGAATTCGTACCAAATACTGAGATTACCGTTTCGTTGTGTCCAGTTGTTCGAAAAAAATAATAATAGATAAGGGAACTAAAGGAGAGGATGATCCTAGAAAATTAGGCCGCCGAGGGTGAAAATGAACATGAACTATTTAAGGACATCACAAGTAATGAATAAGTTGATTTCTCACATGTTTTATCAACCAATCAGAAATATGCTTTAGCATCACTATGTTTATTAAGATAGGAACTAACAAACCACCTTTTATTCCCGGTAATTCGCGTCTCTCTCTCTCTCGTGTATGATCGCTCCCTAGTGTTGACTTAACCATGGATCTGTACGAATGCATTGAGTTACAGCGAGGATCACGGATGAATTTGATTCAGTGGCTTCAACAACGGTCTCTTCTGGCCAACCCGTTACGGTGCAGACAGTGCAACCGAGATATGGAAATGAAGGAAAGGAACGGAGATCATGTCGATGGTTTCCACTGGTGAGTAAAGACCCGTGAGAATTCATAAAGCACGCGACGATTATTTATCGCCAAGTACTTGGCAATTCATATTTAATGAACATTTCATTACTTTGGCGTGCATGACTGATCATTCTTATCACACTTGTCCCGTTTTTCGTTTTTTTTTTTTTGGGAGGGGGCGGGGGTTATAAAACGGAAAGAGTTCTTATTTAGTGGCCTGAGTCCAGAATTTCTATCGACTAGCCGATCTACGAGAACTTATACGGTATCTCAATTTTCGTTAACTTTAAGACGAAATGATCAAAAAATGTTGACAATGCGATTGATCGTCAATGCTACTTTTATCGCCGACCAAAATAGAGGAACTCAAGACGTTGATCAGTAACGTAAATATCCTCGTTTGATCCATGGCCAATTGGTGTAAGTATAGTCAAAGTTCAAAGAGTTGAGAATTAGAAATTAGCCGAAACTGATTTTGCTGCGCGAATACTGGTTTCCGGCACGGTAGCCCCTAATTGCACCGGTGAAAGTCGGCTTTTTTGCTCGGGCTGTAAGGGATCTACAAGCGGACGGCCAAAACCGTTTCGCAAACTAAACTTAAAAAAAATTTATAATAATATATGAAAAAAAAGGAAAAGAAATGAGATATGTTGTGTACTCCCCTATATAAGCCATATGGGTATCTGCTGCCCAAAAGGGTGGGGTTTTGACGCCGTTTTGGCTCGGAATAAGTACTTTGTTCATTTTGGTTTCAAATAGGGTATGGTTTTCGAGGGATCTAGCCGGGAGGGTATTATGAACTTATTTATCGTTTTAGTAATTCCAAATAAGTAAAGAAGAAAGAGGAAACATGCCAATTCGAAATGGCTTTTAAGAAATCTTCATTGTTGCTTTTTAAGGCTAACTAACAATGACATCACTAATTTCTTCGAGGCCAGGTAAGCATTTGGAGAACTCGGAGGCACGCCTCCACCAAGAATTCCGAGGAATACTCACCGGGACCGTTGTTCTTTTGTTTAACATCGTTTCTCACAGAACGATCGAATCGTGAGCGCTTTCACTTTATGGACTTAGTCGTGAGATTGATTTTCGTGTTTTACTCCCAAACTTCTTTTCCGTCTCCTAGGCGTTGCAGTGGATGTAAGAAGAAAAGAAGCCTGCGTACAAACAGCTTTTTTGAAGAGTTCCCTCGAGTGGCACTAGGGACTCTCCTCCTCTCCATCTATTATTTCATTGCTGACGATTCGCAGAGGATTACCGCGCGCAGGTTAGATGTCAACCATGGGTTAATTTCAAATATTTTCAGGCGACTGCAAGACGTGTGTTCGAGAGATTTGGCCGATAGACCCATCATACCATTTGGAGGCCCAGGTTCTGTCGTAAAATGTGATGAAAGCAAGTTTAATCACAAGGCTAAGGTAAACTTCTTTCTTTCTTTTTTTTTTTCGTCCATTTTTGGAGCCAAAGTCTAATATCCCTAGCCCAGAAAGAGGGAAAAAAACCTTAAATCCTTAGAAGTTTTTCAACTATACCATTTTCATATTCGTTCCATTGCTAAATTTTACTCCTTTCAAATACCTGCTTAATACCTCATTAGTCGTATGACGATTGTCTAACGATTAAATGGTACAGCCATAAAGTGCGTCTGTAACTAAAATATATTTCATTTGAGGACCACTTTTGTCCCTAAACAACAGGTTTCTCTCCCTTTTCAAACACTTCGACATAGGAAAAAACCCCACTCTGTCAAACTACTGTGGGTTGCAAAAGGCACTCATTTCGGGCGGAGTCCACACCCAAACCCCCTCCCCATCGAAAAATGGGTTCAAGAGGTTAGAATTGACAATTATTGGGAACATGCTGATTCTTACTACAACCGATACTTTATTACTTTACTTTTATTTCTTTATTTCCAGTACGGTAGGGGAAGGAGAGCAGCACGAGATGCGTGGGTATTTGGAATAGTGTCGTGCGACTACAATCCGGCGAGAGGCTATTTTCAGGTAGTGGATAGAAGGAATGCAGCCACCCTGCTGCCAATCATTCAGCGATGTATTAGGCCAGGTACAGAAGTCCACAGCGACGACTGGGCAGCCTACAGGAGAGTGGCTGCATTGCCAAACGTCAGCTCTCATCTAGTCGTCGTCCACAGACACAATTTTGTTGACCCGCGTACCGGAGTCCATACCCAGGAGGTAGAATCCGCCTGGAGCCACCTCAAGCTTGGTCAAAAACGGAGGAAAGGTTTAATGAGAAAAGATTTGCAGTCATACTTGGACGAAAGAATGTGGCGACAGTGGAGAGCAGGAGACATCAATGTCTCAATGAGGAATTTCCTGGCAATTCTGCCCTTGCAATACCGCACCGATACTCCGGTTCTCTGAGGGTCTCCATGTGGTTATGACATTTGCTGCTTTCGGTTTGTTTGCTGCAAAAGGAAAAAGCAATCCTAACTTTGTTCACTTTTTCTGGTATTCTTATTAAAACAAGCCAGTTGTGAAATGGAAAAACCATCTCTTATACGCAGTAGATGGAAATATTCTAACCTAACTGTAGATACGGCTGTTACCAGACCGCGATAAGACCTCCTGTTTACAAAAAGGAGTCTAAAAATTAGGAGCCTTCTATTCTATAGGTTTTATTTTGCTGCTTGCAATCAAATTAATGGTCAAGGCCTCTATTTTTTTCGGCAAACAAGTTGTGTATTGTACGTTACGACGACAAACTTTCTTGAAATAATAAGATCGTAGAATTTATTTCCATTGTTACAAACCGTCGACACTAAGATCAATAAGACCTCTAATTGTGAATGAACACTTTGGGCCAAATATCTAAACGTAGTTTAGCCGGTTTATTACCGCGTTCTAAGTCATTTTCAATTTGCCCAACGATTTTATCCCAACATTATTTATTGTACACAGTTTTATGAAAGCATATAGAGAAGACTTGAAAAGCATTTATCTTCTTAAAACAACCCACCAAAGAAGACTGATTTCTGGAGGTTCAAAGATTCTTTAACCGCGACTTAAGTTAGAGTTCGTATAATATTTGGTCCTTTGTTCTTGACAAATTGAAGGTGCAACCTAATACTAATCCTAACCACATTACGATGGATCCAGGAGGTTGATTGGGTGGCTAGAAAATCACTCTATAACAGCCCACCAAAAAGAACATTATTATAAACTTAAAAAAACTTGCAACGCCGACCAGCCTCACAGTACCAATAAGAAACCAAACAACAAATCTGCCCTTAATATTTGCGTCATTTGCGTTTTTGTTGGCGTTGCAAGAGTTTGTGGAGTTTCAGGTCTCATTTCGTCCTTCCACAAGTGGAATGTTTTGAGGCAGTTATAGGAGAATTTAAATT